GGCCATGCCTCTTCAAAATCTCCAAGAAATGAGAGTCCACCATCTTTTGAGGGAGTCTGTTCCACTGCCAAACAGCTCTTACTGTCAGGAAGTTCTTCCTGATGTTTAATTGAAATCTCTTTTCTTAACATTTGAATCCATTGGTTCAGGTCCCACCCTCTGGGGCAGGAGAAAACAACCTTGTTCGGTTTTCCATGTGACTGCCCTTCGGATACAGTGGTGCCTCGCAAGATGAAATTAATTCGTTCCGCAAGTTTTTTCTTCTTGCGAGTTTTTCGTCTTGCGAAGCACGGTTTCCCATAGGAATGCATTGAAAATCAATCAATGCGTTCCTATGGAAACCGCCTTCAGACCAGGTCCGGGGACAGTCTGTCCCCCGGCCTCTTCTGAAGGCTGGGGGGGGACAAGGGCTTTTCTTCCCACCCCCAGCATTTTTAAAAAACCCCGGGACAGCGGAGACTTCTCCGCTGTCCGGGGCGATCTTAAAATGCTGGCGGGTGGCAGCGAAGCCTCCGCTGCCGCCCGCCAGCATTTTAAAAAACCCCGGGACAGCGGAGGACTTCTCCGCTGTCTGGGGCGATTTAAAAGCCCCCGGGAAGGCAGGCAGGGGGGAGCAAAGACTTTTGCCCCCGCCGGCCTTCAGAAGACCTCTTCTGAAGGCCGGCGGAGGGCGAAAGTCTTTGCTCCCCCCCCCCGCCTGCCTTCAAAAGCCGTCTGGGATAGCGGAGAAACGAAGGCTGGCGGCGGGAGGAGGTCTCTCCGCCCCGCCGCCAGCCTTCGGAGGAGGTCCGAGGACAGTGGGGAAGACGCGCTGCGCTTCCCCGCTGCCCAGGAGATTTCCCTATGGGCTTTCGTCTTGCGAAGGAAGCCCATAGGGAAATTCGTTTTGCGAAGCGCCTCCAAAACGGAAAACCCTTTCGTCTAGCGGGTTTTCCGTCTTGCGAGGCGTTCGTCTTGCGGGGCACCACTGTATTAGAATATGGCTCTCGTATCTCCTCGCAGTCTCCTCTTTTCCAGGCTAAACTAAGGTTACCAGATTTTTTTTCCAAAGAATCAAGGGACACTTTCTTTTTGAAAAGAGAAAAAAAAAGTTATTACAAAAGTTATTTTTTTAAAAAAAGAAGTAATATTTTCTCTTTTGTGGTCTCCTCTGTCGTGTGGCCTTCCTCTGGGTCCCAGCCTGCTCTCTTGGAGTGCTAGCCGCCATGGAGTAGGCTCGGGTCGGGCCTGGGCTCGGTCACGTGTCCTTGCTCCCCCGGTGCTCTCCTACCTCTCCTCCTCAGCAGCAGCAGTGGCGTGGCAAGGTCAGGGCTCCCCTCTTTTTTCTCCTTCCTCTTTCTCTCTCTTCCTTCTCCTTCTCCTCTCCTCCTCCTCCCCCCGGGGTTTTTCTGGCCCTGGAACACTGCTGGGCAGTTGACCGGGTGGCTGGGCGCTCGATTTGGGATGCGGGGGTGGGGTCAGTGGTTCCCCCAGTTGACGCGTCGGGCATCCCCAGTTCCCCCTTGGCAGTGGCGGCGGCAGTGGCAGTCTCAGCAGCCTGGAGCCAGCCTGGAAGCGCATTTCGCTCTGGCTGGCTTCAGGAGCTGCTCGCTGCCATGGCGCCCACCATTTTGCCTCTCCGGAAGTCCCCATATGATGTGTCTTGTGCCGTTGAACCAATCACGAAACATTGATTCCCTACTAATAAATCTACAACACATAAAATATAAATCCAGGGACATTAAATGAAATCCGGGGACATTCCGGGGACAGATTTGTAAATCCGGGGACTGTCCCCGGGAAACGGGGACGTCTGGTAACCATAGGCTAAACATCTCCCACTCTCTCGACCATTCCTCATATGGCTTGGTTTCCAGACTCTTCATCATCTTGGTTGCCCTCCTCTGTACACATTCCAGCTGGTCCTCCTTAAACTGGGGTGACCAGAACTGGAAACCGGGCTCCAGGTGTGGTCTGCCTGAGACAGAATAGAATGGTAACCTTCCCTGTTACAGTGAGGAATTTCCCCTGCTTACGTTTCATGCACGTGGGCTGCCTTGTCCCTGTCCCTTAAACCGCCTTAGGGGGAGAAGTAAACGATGAGCCTGTTGCCCATGAAATATTAACTCCGTAAATAATTTCCCACAGGAACGGAAAGATAGATGGCCTCTGAATCAGCGAGGGCATGGAGAAACATGATGATCCAACCCAAAGCATACAATCACACATGACAGAGAAATGTGCTGCATTATTCCAAAAAGCTTTGAGCTGCAGTATTTGCTCTGCAGAAAGCCCCGTTTGTAATAGATTTATTTCTTGCCCAAACAAGCAGAGTACCTGTGTGTAAGAGAGATTTACTGTACTGCTGTGCGAGGGAGTCTTCTCAAACAGTAGGAAGACTCGGGGTGAAATGACCAGCTTTGTCATAGGATTATGACTGAGCTGGAGGAGTCTTAAGAAAACCCAACTCATCTCTTTCTCTCTCCACTCACAACTGAAGCAGAAAGCTGTCACCTGACCCTTCTCTCCCGTGATGCTCTCCAGCCATTGGTGCTGCTGCTGTGATGTCATGGAACACCCAATACAGCTTTGAAGCTCACTGAGTGAGTTTGGTCTGTTCAGCTAACCTACCTCTTAGGGTTGTTATGAGGATAAAATAGAGAGGGGGAGAACTATGAATCTGCTAAAACATTTTTTGTTCATATAGGCCTACCCAGATATGTAAAAAGCTGGTCTGTGTTTTAATCGGGTTTTGGGTTATCACTGGTTTTGATTATTATTTGTATGTTTTAAAAAGCTGTTATTAATTTTTTTCCTGATAATTTTATTGCTTTACCTTTTTTGCAAACCACTTTGAGGCTTTGTTCTTTTTAACCGTCAAATGGTATATAAAAGGAAGATTTTACAGCCTGGACCCAAAGACTGCATGAACCTTTCCCCCCCCCATTTTCATTTCACTGCCAATATATGGAGACTTGTATGCTGGAACTTCTGGAAACCAAGTAACACATCTGGAAACACGGGTGCTAAGCATCTGTGATTTATTCTAGCCTAAGTATTTTGATGCAGAATGTTTGTTTTAAGGTGGATGAGGGCAGATGCAAACCTAACCAAGTTTTAAAATGCTTGGAGTGATCACCATTGTGCTTAACTCTGTTACTGGAGAGCAGTCCTGACAGAAACATACCAGGGTGGGGTGGGGTGGGGTGGTGAGAGGTTAAACTGACTGCTCCCCACTCCCCAAAACATTTGGCCTCTTTCACACCAGGATCTGGAGATATTCTTACTTCTCTTTCTTTTTTTTCCCCAAGTAAATTTTTATTGTTTTCCTTACATATTCTTTTCCAACAAACCATATTAATGCCATACATTCCCTTTGACTCTGCCGAGTCGCGACTCCCCTCCCTCCCTGCAATTGGTATATTTAACCCCTTTCTATCGCGCACATCATTCTCACAATAGTACTATTATACATTGAAGGTATTATGGCAATCCTGCTAGTGTCTTGACCTCTTTACAATTCTCCTTTAAATATTCAATCCCTCCCTGACAATTTGGCAAGTTCTGCGTATTCTGTCAACTTCACCTGCCACTCCTGGATGGTTGGTAGGTCTTGTGTTTTCCATCTTTGGGCCAGGAGGGTTCTTGCAGCGGCCGTAGCGTACATGAACAGATTTTGGTCTCCCATTTTGATTTCCATTCCTATTAAACCCAATAGACACGCTTCCGGAGATATTCTTACTTCTCAATTTGCGCGTCTCTGTTTAAGGCCGTTAATCCTGCTCCCTGCTCTTCCTAGCTGGTTTTATGGTCACAGACAAGCTGCATGTAGCTGGCCCTGACTGTGTCAATAAGCCGAGTCTCTGCACATTCCTCGTCTCTCTGGGAGATTATCGGAGATTGATTGATGTAATGGGGCTTTTCTTGGGTATTCTGAGTTGGCCTTGAGGATTTCCCCCCCTGGTTCCCCAGGAAGACTCCTCTTGTTAACTGATCTGCCTTTGTATACCGTGGATATTTTAAAGCTCTGACGATGCAGAACTACCAAGGGAGTATCGCAGTTAGTTTCCAGGCAACCGATCGCAATTCACATAAAAGGGTCTGAAGCCAGCCTGTTTCACAGTGGCTCTCAGCCTTGGGAGAAGGAGCAAACTTGTTTTCTCCTGCTCTGGAGGGTAGGACCCAAACCAGCGGCTTCAACTGACAAGAAAGGAGATTCCACCTAAACAGCAGGAAGAACTTGTTGACAGTAAGAGCTATTCAAGAGTGTTCAAGAGACCATAGATAGTCATGGCTTCCCCCAAAGAATCCTGGGAGCTGTGGTTAAGGGTGCTGAGATTTCTTTGTTGTTGTTGCTGTTCACTCATTTAGTCGTGTCTGACCCCATGGACCAGAGCACGCCAGGCACTTCTGTCTTCCACTGCCTCCCGCAGTTTCGTCAAATTCATGTTGGTAGCTTCGAGAACATTGTCCAACCATCTCGTCCCCTTCTCCTTGGGCCCTCCATCTTTCCCAACATCAGGGTCTTTTCCAGGGAGTCTTCTCTTCTCATGAGGTGGCCAAAGTACTGGAGCCTCAGCTTCAGGATCTGTCCTTCCAGTGAGCACTCAGGGCTGATGTCCTTCAGAATGGAGAGGTTTGATCTTCTTGCAGTCCATGGGACTCTAAAAAGTCTCCTCCAGCACCATAATTCAAAAGATTTCTTAGGAAACCCTTATTTCCCTTAGGAGAACTACAATTCCCAGAGTCATCTGGGAAGAGGGACTGATAAGCTACTCTGGGAATTGCAGCTCTGGGAGGAAACCAGGGGCCTCCTAAGAACTCTCGGTACCACAAACTACAACTCCCAGCATTCTTTGGGTGAAGCCATGACTGTTTAAAGTATTATCATAATGTTTCGAATGGATGCTGCAGATGAGGATTCACCACAGGAAAGGGTTTCAGACCCCACCCCCTTCCTGATTCTTTTTATATTAAAAACACCGATAAATTCCAAAAGAAAACAAGCGCTCCCCTCTCACCTTTGTTATAAAGAGAGCCATCGAAGTAGTAGCTGCCGGTGTAGAAACCTGTTGCCAGTTCAATGAGGTGCCGCGCCCAGGTATTGCCTGCCCCAGGAAAGCTTGCAAGGGCAACAAACTGCTTGGCCCGAGCTGTTAAAAATCTCCGGTCCATACAGCGGTTATCTGTGAGCAGATCAAAATGAAGGCATTAGCTAGGAATGGAGGGATCCTGCGGTCACTGGGAGGGAATAAGTACACAAAACACCAAGTAAATCATGAGGGGGCCTTGGACATCTCCCTGGAGAGGGAATCCTAAAAGTTAGGGAACAACACCGAAAAGGCCCCGCCTGTCTCTGCTAGTTTCTTTATTATTCTTTCATCCAGAAACCACTTCCTATAAAGTGATTTCACAATAAAATTAAAAACGTATTGTTGCATGCACCCCAATCTCTGAGTGGCAAGAGACACAAGGGGATCCTGCACCTAACAGTGGGTTGGTTTACTTGGAATGAAGGCCGATGGAGAGACTACTGCGATGTTCTCTACGTGAAGCTACCTTTGAAAATGACCAGGAAACTACAATTAATCCAGAATGTGGCAGCTAGACTGGTGACTGGGAGTGGCCGCCGAGACCATATAACATCGGTCCTGAAAGATTTACATTGGCTCCTTGTACATTTCAAAGCACAATTCAAAGTGTTGGTGCTGACCTTTACAGCCCTAAAAGGCCTCGGCCCAGCATACCTGAAGGAGCGTCTCCACTCCCATCGTTCAGCCCAGACACTGAGGTCCAGCTCCGAGGGCCTTCTGGTGGTTCCCTCACTGCAAGAAATGAGGTTATAAGGAACCAGGGAGAGGGCCTTCTCGGTAGTGGCGCCCGCCCTGTAGAACGCCCTTCCATCAGATGTCAAGGAAATAAACAACTAACTGACTTTTAGAAGACATCTGAAGGCAGCCCTGTTTAGGGATGTTTTTAATGTTTGATCTTTTAACGTGTTTTTAATATTCTGTTGGGAGCCGCCCAGAGTGGCTGGGGAAACCCAGCCAGATGGGCGGGGTATGTATGTATGTATGTATACATACATACATACATACATACATACATACATACTGGGGTGCAAGTAACAGTATGCATAGGATTTGCTGCCTAAGTTATTGGAACTTTGTTCCCCCTGAAATCCGGCAGCACTCAAAGCCGTTGTGAATGTCTTACGTGCATTTCAACAGAGCCAAAAGGAGATTGATCTGAATGGAAACACATAGAAATGCAATGCATGAACAAATCCAGAGAGGGAACTGAGTTAATAGAGCAAAAAGAAGAAGGGAACGAGAGGGAAATGGTGAAAGGAAGCGGGCAACCGCTGCATGCAAAAGTCAAACAGTGGTTTCCTGCATCTAACCAATGGAGCTATCCATCTGATGGAAGCCGGAACTAATTACTGTTTCATTCCAAAGCGAAATTTATATGTTTGGTAATTAAAAGAAATAAAAGGGTGAGGTTTTTTTTGTTTTTTAAAAAACAAACAATTGACTCTCTAAGGATTCAGACGGCGGTGGGGTGGGGATCTTCCCCAGTCCTATGCAGATGCCAGATGGGTTGAAAAAGGGACCTTCTTCCTGCAAATCACTTCCATACAAAGCAGCCTCTACCTTGAACTTAAGGGGACGTGGGTGGTGCTGTGGGTTAAACCACAGAGCCTAGGACTTGCCGATCAGAAGGTCGGCGGTTCAAATCCCCGCGACGGGGTGAGCTCCTGTTGCTCGGTCCCTGCTCCTGCCCACCTAGCAGTTCGAAAGCACGTCAAAGTGCAAGTAGATAAATAGATAAGTAGATAAATATCTTCCCTGCGGGAAGATAAACGGCGTTTCTGTGTGCTGCTCTGGTTCGCCAGAAGTGGCTTAGTCCTGCTGGCCACATGACCCGGAAGCTGTACGCCGGCTTCCTCGGCCAGTAAAGCGAGATGAGTGCCACAACCCCAGAATCGGCCATGACTGGACCTAATGGTCAGGGGTCCCTTTACCTTACCTTACCTTGAACTTGAGTCTGATAAACGATGAAATACTTGGAGGTGCCACAGCTCTCGAATTCCTCGCCGCTGCATTTTTGGGAGCAGAGCTGCTCGTCTTCCCTCTCATGCAATGTGAAGAGGGTCGTAGGGAAACCGCAGTGGCAGGTGGTGGCAGCCAGTGCTGCGAGTGGGTATTCCTGGTGGAAGAACAGGGGAGAATAATTTTGTGCATTGCCTTTGAGAAGGAGTGCAGTTAGAATCATGAACTTTAGACCTGGAAGGGTTCCAGGGGGTCATCTAGTCCAGCCCCCAGAATGGCCACTGGTGCAGGATGATGGAAGTTGTGGTCCCTCTGGAAGGCCAAAGCAAAGAAGAGGATGTACCAATGAAGGAAGAAGGGATAACTAAGATGATAGGTAAAGGTACCCCTGCCCGAAGGCCAGTCGTGTCCGACTCTAGGGTTGTGCGCCCATCTCGCTTAAGAGGCGGGGGCCAGCGCCATCCGGAGACACTTCTGGGTCACGTGGCCAGCGTGACGAAGCTGCTCTGGCATGCCGGCACCAGCGCAGCACACGGAAACGCCGTTTACCTTCCCGCTAGAAAGCGGTACCTATTTATCTACTTGCACTTTAGGGGTGCTTTCGAACTGCTAGGTGGGCAGGAGCTGACCATGCGAACCGCCGACCATGCGATCGGCAAGCCCTAGGCGCTGAGGAATTACCCACAGTGCCACCCGTGTCCCATCTAAGATGATAGACTATGCCAAAATGGCAAAGACAACTGTGAAAATCCGGGACCAAGATGAAAAAAAAGTTTATACAAGACTGGACTGAATATATAGAATATCTTAAGGTCCACTTACAGGTAGGTAGCCGTGTTGGTCTGCCATAGTCGAAACAAAATAATAAAATTTCTTCCAGTAGCACCTTAAAAAGGTAAAGGGACCCCTGACCATTAGGTCCAGTCATGACTGACTCTGGGGTAGCGGTGCTCATCTCGCTTTATTGGCCGAGGGAGCCGGCGTACAGCTTCCGGGTCATGTGGCCAGCATGACTAAGCCGCTTCTGGTGAACCAGAGCAGCGCACGGAAACGGCGTTTACCTTCCCGCCAGAGCGGCACCTATTTATCTACTTGCACTTTGACGTGCTTTCGAACTGCTAGGTTGGCAGATAGTGTGCATGCACACGAAAGCTCATACCAGTAACAAGCTTAGTTGGTCTTTAAGGTGCTACTGTCAGGAATTTTTTTATTTTGTTAAGGTCCACTGTAAAGACTTAAAAAACATTAGCAGGATTGACATAGCATCTATGAAGTAATGTGGATTAGGGTTATCAATGGTCTTGTAACTGAATGGAAAACTAAAGATGTGTAAGGTAAAAAAGGGGAGAAATTGGAAACTGGGTTGTGTGTGTGTGTGTGTGTGTGTGTGTGTGTGTGTGTGAAGTCTAGACCAGGGGGCAGCATGGTTTATCTTGCCTGGGCCGGATCGGTCCTGTAGAGAGCTCTCAGTGGGCTGGATTGTGTGCGCATGTGAGCGCACACCCCTGGATTTTTTGGCGTCTGTGCAAATGTGATTTTTGGCGCTGCAGAAGCGAGTCCCCGCGCTGCGCTGCTCCGGTTTAGCGCAGTGCGGGGAGTGGGCAGCTCGGTTCAGGTGCGGCTCGTGGGCCTGTTCAAATGACCTCTGCGGGCCGCTTTTGGCCCATGGGCCTTAGGTTGCTGACCCCTGGTCTAGAAGGGATGAATAAGTAAGTAATTTGGATGTTAAATGGTTAAGTTATTGAAAATTAAAAAGAAAATATGAAAAAAGGAAGGCCACAGCAACATCTGGAGGTCCTCATCGTGTCTGGGCTCAGCCGTGGGGTCCTGGGTTCGAATCTCCGCTAAGCTGTGAAACTGAACTGAACAATTTAGGGGCACTTTCCATCTGCTGCTCTAAGACATCCCTACCAATGCATTCTATGTGGGGCTTCCCCTGCAATTGAACTGAGGCAGCAGAATGCTGCGATACAGTTTCTGACAAGAGCGAGACCATATAACACCCCTGTTTAGAGATCAGCAACTACTCTTTTCAGCACCTGATAAAACATTTCAGTTTAGACAAGCCTACTTGGCTATGTAGAATGCTTATAGGGTGTTTTGATCTGTTTTTAGATTATCATTCATTTTAATTATCTTCTTATAAATAGTGGCTTTTAACTGTTTTGTACTGATTATTTGCAGGACGCGGGTGGCGCTGTGGGTAAAAGCCTCAGCGCCTAGGACTTGCCGATCGAAAGGTCGGCGGTTCGAATCCCCGTGGCGGGGTGCGCTCCCGTTGTTCGGTCCCAGCGCCTGCCAACCTAGCAGTTCGAAAGCACCCCTGGGTGCAAGTAGATAAATAGGGACCGCTTACTAGCGGGAAGGTAAACGGCGTTTCCGTGTACGGCTCTGGCTCGCCAGAGCAGCGATGTCACGCTGGCCACGTGACCCGGAAGTGTCTCCGGACAGCGCTGGCCCCCGGCCTATAGAGTGAGATGGGCGCACAACCCTAGAGTCTGTCAAGACTGGCCCGTACGGGCAGGGGGGTACCTTTACTGATTATTTGAGGGACGCGGGTGGCACTGTGGGTTAAACCACAGAGCCTAGGGCTTGCTGATCAGAAGGTCAGCAGTTCAAATCCCTGTGACGGGATGAGCTCCCGTTGCTCGGTCCCTGCTCCTGCCAACCTAGCAGTTCGAAAGCACGTCAAAGTGCAAGTAGATAAATAGGTACTTGCTCCGGCGGGAAGGTAAACGGCGTTTCCGTGCACTGCTCTGGTTCGCCAGAAGCGGCTTAGTCATGCTGGCCACATGACCCGGAAGCTGTACGACCGGCTCCCTCAGCCAATAAAGTGAGATGAGCACCGCAACCCCAGAGTCGGCCACGACTGGAACCTAATGGTCATGGGTCCCTTTACCTTTACCTTTACTGATTATTTGATAGTTTTCTTCCTTTTGTAAGCCACTTGGGTTTTTTTTTAACAATCAAGAGGCACATAAATTTTATGAAAAAAATAAAATATGTATATTTCACAGGGTTGCTTCCCTGCACATTCCCTCTGGATATGTGCAAATTTTTTTTTGCACACAATTTCCCCTAATAGCTGCATTTTTTGAAAGCCACCCCCCTATAAGTAATGCAGTTTGGGAGGTAATTTTCACCAAACGTACGCTTTTTGTGTACCCATCTTCCTTCTTTGCAGACATGCGTTGGCTGGGTAACACGTTTGCAAACATTTGCGAATGTGCAAATTTTGAAGGTGCAGTTGAGTCGATGCGTTTTTGCTCAGAAATGTGGACCAGGCAGGTTTGCATCATTGCAAATGCAAACCAAATTTCTTTCCCCACTTCTGCACAGCTGAGTTGAGGATATCCTCATCTCTCCCTTCCCAAAAGCAGTGGTGTGGAAATTGCTGTTGCCGTCAGGGAGTTATTTTTTTTTTTTTTTAAATAATTTTTATTGCATTTTTCAGACACAGACAGAAAACAGCAGGAGAAAAAATAAACGAAAAATGTAAAAGAAAAAAGAAAAATCATACCCCTTCAACAGCTTATTCCAACTTCCCATCAAGCTTCCCCACATCTCCCGCACAATGCATTCTTAATAATAAATTTATCAGCAAATTGTAACCTTGTTTCATGTGTTTCTTTGGTACTTTCAATTGCAATTTAAATTTAAATCCCTTATTGTCCATTTACCCTAAAAACAAAACATATTATCATTCTTAACATTTAAACTTTGATTCTTTCAATAATATTATCCAATTTCATAAATATTGCACTCTCGTTGCTGGGGCTAGCATTTCAAATTGTGCGTCATTTTATAGTTCATATAACTTATAAAATTTTTGTAAATAGTTCTTAAATTTTTTCCAGTCCTCCTCCATTGCTTCTTCTCCCAGGTCTCGGATTCTGGCAGTCATTTCGGCCAACTCCATATAGTCAATCAGTTGCGTTTGCCACTCTTCCAGCGTGGGTAAATCTTGAGTCTTCCAATGTTTGGCGATCAAAATTCTTGCTGCTGTGGTAGCATACATAAAAAACGTTCTGTCCTTCTTTAACACCTTTTGGCCGACAATACCCAAGAGGAAGGCCTCCGGTTTTTTAGGGAAGGTGTACTTAAACACCTTTTTTAACTCGTTGTAGATCATTTCCCAGAAGGCCTTCACTCTTGGGCAAGTCCACCAAAGGTGAAAGAATGTTCCTTCAGCCTCCTTACACTTCCAACATTTGTTATCAGACAAATGGGTATATCTTAGCAAGCTTGACTGGGGTCATGTACCACCTGTATATCATTTTCATAATGTTTTTCTTTCAAGGCATTACATGCCGTAAATTTCATACCGATGGTCCATAACCTTTCCCAGTCTTCAAACATGATATTGTAACCAATGTCTTGAGCCCACTTTATCATGGCTGATTTAACTGTCTCATCCTGTGTATTCCATTTAAGCAGCAAGTTATACATTCTCGATAATACCTTGGTCTTTGGTTCTAACAACTCTGTCTCAAGTTTCGATTTTTCCACCTGGAATCTATTTTTTGTCCAATTTAACAACCTCGTTAATTTGGGCATAGTGAAACCAATCTCGCACCTTATCCTTTAAATTTTCAAAGCTCCGCAACCTCCAATTGTCACCAATTTTTTCTATTAATTCCCAATATTTCGGCCAACCGGCCTCCATATTGGGTTTTTTCCACGCCTTAGCCTCCACTGGTGATAACCACCTGCCGTCAGGGAGTTATTTACTACAGTCAAGAGTTATACAGCCAGGCTTATGGCACCCCTTTCAAAATCACGGCCCAGTGGCAGTTGGATAACGCGCGAGTTTGTCACCTGGACGAAGGCCGCTTAAAAGCCCATGGAGTACGACATCCGCGCCCTCATTTGAGCCTTAAAGTGCAGAGTTATGAAGGCCGTGGTGAGGCCTGACAGGCAATTTAATACCCAGGAAGGCAGCAAGGCTGGGTTAATCAAAGGGCACGCCACAATGAGTTTGTGTTGCCGCCTCAGAGAGCTGGCTGACAACAGCAGGGGCAAGGCCCAAACTGTGCGCCGTAAGAAAGCAGAGATAGTCCATGGTGGGGTGTGGGAGATCAGGGTTCAAATCCCCATTGGCCATGAAGCTCATACTCTCCAAGTCTCTGTGATAGGAATTTTATGGTCTTAGATATATGTTAATGTTCATAAGTGTACCAACCAAGCACGTACAT